TACTGCAGAAATAAAGCCACATTTCATCACCCGAAAATAAAACCTTTTTCGTTGTAGCTTGTTTCAGGGCAGGCTGTAAGGGTGGTGTGCTGTGGTCAGCATGGACGCGTTCAACGCCCGAACTACGTGACGGTGAACCTGAGGGAGACGTGTTGGAAGATGATGAGGAACCAATGCTACTACTATGCAAACACGATTTACGACTTGCTCCTTCTGAAAACAGTAACAGAATGGATAACATTATAGGCGATTATTCCAAATGAAAATAACATATGCAAAAGTATCAGTGGCAATATCATTATGATTCATTGATGGCAAGCGAAACATGAACGCGAGAAATAATGAAATACACTTTGCAGTCCTATCATTTCTCATTAACAATGAGAAATATTGTCAGTAAACTCCGTCTCGTCACTGCTGCTTGTCTCTCTGTCCCTTCCCATCAGATGCGGTAAACTGTTTCCTTATTAAATAGAGTTTGAAGTACCACAAACCAACTACCGCATGCCATTGTAATTTAAGGACAGAAAAATCCCTCGATCTTTGCCAGTTTTTTAAGAAATAATAAACTAAAAATATGATCACACGAATCATAATAAATTTCTCTGCATGCAATAAAACATAAGTACAAAATGATTCGCAATGGTTAAAATCGCTTTCGATATTACCTCTTGATATATTAAATTTGAGGAATTTATTTGGCGAAACATCACACAAACAAATTTCGCACTTTCCAATTCATTTAAAGAGTTAAAGAAATTAATATTAATCCTTTTCCCACACAGTATCCTTCCAAGAACGACAACTTATTCCCAGCCTAAAGATGCACAATAACATTTTAAACGGTAGAATAATAATAATAATAATTAGTAATATATCCGTTTCAATCACTACTCAGTTATTCATAATTACTCTAGCCTTCACTAAACCATTCATAATTCTTTAATTATTTGAATACTAGACGTATGAAATAAACACTTGACAACATAAAATGATGACAAAAGCAGAAATCACAACATAAAAATATCGGAATCAAAGATCGCAAACTAATTCCAACATTTTCTAAAAAACCTGTTGAAAAAGGGCATTCTATTAATGACTTCAACTCATTATTACACTTCTTTACTGCAGTCCTAACTTAGAATCCATAAAAATTAAATGTAGAGAAGAAAAAATACTTAACGTAAACAAATGATTTTAGCAGGCTTAAATGACCTCCTCCCTTATTTCATCTCTCTGTATCTCCTTCTAACCACACTGACCATTTCACGCGAACCACCCTTTTATACTATGACATCTTCTCACTACTCTCACATTCTCTAAAGGTAAAAACGGCCATTGTTGCATACGTGTTCACAGTCGATGATGATCGACCACAGTGCAACAACGACACTAATCTACCATGTTTTTATCTGTCATAGTAAAGAATTGAATTTTTAATTACATGCAACATTATTCAATATAAACCTATACGAGCTATAAGCTAAGGCATGACTTCAACATGAAGTACTGTAAGTGTAAACAAAAAAAAAGAAAAAAAAGGAAAAAGATATCAATTAGCACATAAATTCTAACCACATTGTTAATTAGTTCAGGTGACTTGCAAATATGAGAATACTTTACATAATCACAGCAACGACAATTTTCTTGCGAATCAATTGAACTTTGCTTCCAGAACAGCTTGAATTCTTGCAATAATTAGCCGAAAACATAACCCTAATATAACCTGTTCATTTTTCGACAATGCAAACACAATTAGTCACTAACAATGAGTCATTTTGTGATAAGTATTTTACATGACATTTCATTTATTCGTATGAACAAACAAAACGGCATCCGTTAATTCTCTTATTATAGCACCAGAACACTTCAGGGAAACTGATGGATTGTCATGTGCAGCAGTATTAATTAAACTTTTCTAGCAAAGCTTCTCACACATGGGAGAAATTAGCCTATTAATAAAACATCTGAATAAGGAAACCATTGAGCTGAAAAGGGCAACATAATATAAAATTAAAATCAAACTCTTTTTATAATAAAGAATGATAAAATATGAATTAGGAGAAATGATGCATCGTAATAAATGAAGCAGTTCATTTTGTTAAGCCTCAATATGTTTGAGCTAATTGTTTTGACGTTATTAAAATCATAATAATAAATTCGAAAGACCACATTTGAGCGTAATTTACATTGCCTAAACAACATGAATGCCAGTATTAAAAGATGAATTTTCAAACATATACGATGTGAAGAATAACATGCATAGACTTGAAGAATAACGTATGTAAATAGCAAACACTTCAAAAACTAGTTTATAAACGCAAATTATATGCGTTGAAACGAACAATCATTGAGCAATCTAAAAAACCCCAAAATAGTAGTACCTGCACTTGGAAGAAGTAGACCTCTTGATGTACGAATTCTTGAAGAAGACCAAGTAACCTGGAAGAAATAATAAAAACCAATTTAAGCCAACATGACAAAACGAATGAGAATAAATGACAAAACGAATGGCATTACAAACATGGAAATATCGGTAGCTAAACATATTCCCTACCAAAAATGCCCGGAATACCTCATTTCTAACAAATACCATTTATTCTCATAGTTATGATTCCTCACTACCTTAAAAGTATAGAATAATGTAGATGTATGGCTGATGTAAACAAATATGGGTCAAGAAATTACACAATCTTTGAAAGTGTACTAAACATTTCGATGTTCCAGGTATCAATATTACGTCACTTTGGTGACAGATTGGTTATATGCATGCTGCACTGGGAAAAGAGCACCATATCAGTTAAATAAAACAAAACTGTAGTAAATCTGAATAGTTCATCAACTTGCAAATAACTTAAATAGTTGAAGCCAGCCAGAGTTAGCAGAAGCGAAAAACTCCCATTATTCTTTCATAGAGGGACCTGCATAAAAAAGAAAGCATACAAATACCTGATTACGTTGTGGATTACGCGAATGACGTCGTTTCAAACAACTGCTTCGGCCACATCCACCAGATGAAGCACTTTCCGATTCACGTTTATCGAATCTTTCTGAAAATTCCAAATATCTTAATTACAAAAATATCAGCATAATCACTACGTTACACCGATTCTGTTTCTTCACCACATGTTTTATGTTGGAGTTCAATGGAATCATACCGCTTGTCGATAACGTAAGATCGGCAAGAGATTAAAAAAGGTTGAAGGTGAAAATAACCTGTCATATTTGATTGCATAACTGTCTTACCAGATTGTTGTAAAAAAGAAAGGAAGAGATATTTTATTATCCACCTTTCCATCTCCCATCTCTTAAAAGATACATTACCTGACTATCCTATCAAGGAACAAGAGGATAATGCCGAATGAACAATATTTGTCAATATTACTGGAAGATATTAACTGAGGCTTTCAATTACGCCGAAAAAAAGTTGCGAAATAATCCTGACCACCAGAAGATTCAAAGAACAAGCGGGATTCATGTGTTATTTACATGATTAACGTAGATACGTAGAAGACACATCACTTCTAATAATACCAAACTTCTTTCCTGTCAAAATTAAAACAATTTTTCAAGAAAAAGAAAGGAAGCTTAAATAATTACAATTTGAGTGTAGAAAATATCACCTGGCGAGCCGTCGGAATCAGATGTTGTAATGAATAGATCACGTCTGAACACGTTGCTCTTGCTGCTACTTACGTCATCCCTGCTATCCCCCATGACAAACTCCACGTAACGTCTAAGTTACGCATACGCTCCCAACTGATTGTCGTTTATACCCGTTTCTTCGTATGACTGAACCTGTTTCGAAAAAAAAAGAAATTGAAACACGTTCGAATTAGATGTGAGAATAGAGTATGCTCAGAAAGAGGATTAGACATGTCATGCTGTTTAAGAAAATACTGCATTAAAAGGGTAGAATTGAGAAGAGATAGAAATCGAAGGAAAAAAAGAACAAATAAAAGTACTACTTTTGAGAGGTTGAGAAAATGCATAAATAACATGTAACAATTATAAATAAAGAATGAGAAAGGAATAAAAGTTAACAACAAAAAAGAGAGAAGGGGCAGAGAGATTTGATTAAGATAAAGTGAAAGAGGAAGATAGAAATATTGAGAAGTGAGCGAGACGAAAGAGATTAGTCTTGTAGCTTTCACAATTTAGTGCTGTATTGATATGATTACGGTAATCTACTAACATCACTTCTCCCGAGATTTCTCGGTACTTACAAAATATCCGACTTGTTCTTTGGTCTATTTTATATTAGTAATAAGCGAGGAGAGTAATATATGTGTATATTTGTTTCCGTTATTCAAACATTAACGACTGTTATTATATTTTAGACATACGTGAATTGACGTCTGATAGATTCTCCTCAAAAGTACATTTCTGTATGTCCGTATGTCTCCCTCTCTGTCTGTCTGTCTGTCTGTTTGTCTGTCTGTCTGGTTGTTTGTATCTTTGTCTGTTGTACTTTTGTGTATATGAAAAGAGTAAGAGATATTTTCTTTCCACGATGAAATTTTCAGGGGAAAACAAGCAAACGCAGCAAAATTTAGCCTTGAAATTTTCCAGTTGACCTTTTTCTTTTTCTTTCGAATATAATTTGTTGTGAATTGCTGATGTCAACCATCTGTATGTGTGTGTGTGTGTGTATGTGTGTATGTGTATGTGTGTATGTGTATGTGTGTATGTGTATGTGTGTTTGTTTCTCTTAGTAGTTGAAAGCCTAAATAAGATCTAAAAATGTTGAGGAGTGATTGAGTAACCAGAGTTCTTTTTTTTCTCGCAATTTATAAACTGTTCTTTTTTCTTTGTATATTCTGTTGAATATCTTCAACAAATGCTCCAGCAGTGTCCTATATCATTATCATTATCATGATCACTATCATTGTATCTGATGATGATAATGTTCAGATGAGATTTTGTTCATAGTTCTATTCACATCATTGCTAGTTATTAAATGATAAGGATGCAACAATATCATTATCAATCACTAATCAATGATTGATAGCAGTAGAGGACCTTTATCTTCTCTTCCTTTTTCACTTAAATATGTACTTTCCCCGGTTGGATTGCATATTGGTTGTCAAGTGCAATACAAGATTGATATGAATGGCATTACGAAAGAGAAAACCTCTTCTCAGTCGTCTTCACTCCATCACATTGCGCCAATACATGTAGGTGTTGTGGGTATGTATGTGGGTGTATGTGTGTGTATGTTTGTCTGCTCGTATTAAGTGTATATGTGTGTGTGTGTATGTATGTGTATGTTTGTTCGTCTATATTGAAATGTATGTGCGTATGTTTGTCTGCCCAAAATAGAATGTATGTGTATGTGTGTGCATATATTTATGTATGTATGTATGTGTGTAAGAGTGTGTGTGTATATATGAGACATTGGAAGAGACGGCCGCACCCTCACCCACACATACGGATCGATCATTTTCAGCAGCATGCTCAGTGTCTGTGTGGGGAACCGAAGCCGAGCTGTGAGGCATTCATTGTACGATTGGTAGAGTTAGTGGATAGGTGTTGGGTTATGGTGACGGTGATGTGTTATCAGTGATATCTTATCATCAGTTGCTATATTATCAGTAGTAACCTTTATGCTTTCTCATTTATCAATGGTTAATGAGCGAAAATTTGATAGATTTTACATCAATTAAATTCCTCTATCAATTGAATCATTTCAAGGTCATGTTACATTTTGTCTAGACAAGATAACTAGTTTGTCATTACCAATGATAACTAATGCACTTTTCCTTCAACCGATTGTTCTAGAAAGAATGATTCAGCATACGTATTGAAAATGAAAGGGAATATTTGGAGAAGTTTCATTTTACTTGTTGGTCTTCGCATTACATATATGTTTCAGTTTATAGCAATTTCATTTCATATATTCTTCAAGAGTTGATCGTTTTAGTATGACTGATGAGAAAATGTGAGAAATGAATTACAGATTCTATATTACTAATCCTATTAGAAATCCTTCATAGCAAAAAGAGCAAACATATACGGCCGAACCAAAGATTATCTATCACTGACTGATCTTTCTACGTTTCATCGACCCTCCCGCCTTCCACCGGCCATACCATCTTTCACATGAAAGTCGTAATTAGCGTACTACTGCCATATACTACATAGATATTCTTTCACATATATTTTGCATCTCATCAATAAAATTGGATCAGATGAGGACAGCTGTTGTTAAAAATCTTTGTTTGCTCTGACGATTTGTAACTGGTGTCACCTGTTGTCTTCCATGTATAATAAGGCTTAGAGAAATACGGATTTTTTTGTCATTCTACATCATACTTTTTACAGTTTTTTAAATGGCAATGAAATAAGTTGTTCATTTCGAAGAGTAAAATCATCTTAAATATCCCATCTTTTTCCTGCTTGAAGGAGAGGAGCAAGGATAAGAAATATGGGAGACAAAACATTTTCCGCATTACATTATTCTCTCATCGTGTTTACGCATCGTGTTTGCATTTAGTACTTAACTTAAAAAAAAAAATCAGAAAATTAACGCTGTTACTCCATATCAGCTCGATTTTACACAGTCTACCGAGGCATTTTCACCGATTCATTATGAGCAAACCGAAGATTGGTATTAATGGGTAAGCTGATTTTTTTTTATAATTCAACTTGTTCATTTCTTTAAGTTATTTACTCAATGTAAATCCTGTAAATTTATATGATTGAGGTTGGGATATTTCTTTTTGTTAAACGTTTTCGAAATTATTATCTAATGTCAATAAAACCATCTGAACTTCGATAATCTTCATAAAAAGATTTCGTCAAATTCAGATTTGGTCGCATCGGTCGACTTGTCTTGAGAGCAGCAGTTGAAAAGGACACTGTTGATGTAGTTGCTGTCAATGATCCATTCATCAACATTGACTACATGGTTTGCTGACGTTAAAAATATTTGCGTTCCTTCGTTTTTTTAGGTTCTAGAAATATTTTGAAGGCCGATTGTTTGCAATTTTGAAATTTGTCTTCAAGTAAAAAACATTGGAGAGGTCGACGTCATTATAAATCACCTAATTTTTTGAATGTTAGTATTTGCTAGTAGGTCCCGCTGGTGAGTAATGTGATTCAACTTATCACGCAAGTGTTCGTGTGAATTGCTGTTGAAATCCTATTTTTCAGGTGTACATGTTTAAATATGATTCAACACATGGACGCTTCAAGGGTAATGTTTCTGCTGAGGGAGGAAAGCTTGTTGTAACGAACGGCAAAAGGACCCATCATATCTCTGTACACAACAGGTTGGCACTACTATTTAAATCCATAGTGTTTTAAGAAACTTACATTCAGAAGGGCTTCAGTTTTTTTTTTTCTACAGAAAATGGGAAGGTCTTTGGTCTTTCTGTTGTTGAGAATGCTTGTGTGCTTGTCTACATTTTTTTATTGTAAATGAATCATCAAACATTTAATACCCGTTTCTAGACAGCTTTGTATTTCGAAATTAATAGGGAGCTGTCTCTGTATGTGTTTACCTCTGAAGGTTTTAATTTGGCAGGAATTGAAACTGTGAAATTCTTACTCCTTCGCAGATGAAAAATATCCGGTTATCAGGTGTCTTTCCAGGTATTCGAAGTCCATATCAGTTCTTGATTGATACGTAGTTTAGAGGAATAATCGGTTTAAGGTAGGAGTAAATGATTTTGACGGGAATTTCAAGAGAATTGCAGCAAAGATCCCGCCGAAATACCATGGGGAGTAGATGGCGCAGAATATGTTGTCGAATCGACGGGCGTTTTTACAACAACGGAGAAAGCAAGTGCGCATCTGAAGGGTGGTGCCAAGAAAGTCGTTATTTCTGCTCCATCAGCTGATGCACCAATGTTCGTAATGGGTGTCAATAATGACAAATATGATAAGGCCAACAATCACATCATCTCTAATGCTTCTTGCACCACCAATTGTCTGGCTCCTTTGGCTAAGGTTGAAGATTTCTTAATACAAACTAACATTTCTAAGTCTAGAAATTGTTTGAGAATTTTTGGAAAGTGACCTGAAATAGGGAGGTGGAATTAATGAGATGCTAATGTCACTTTTTTGATGCATTTGATGCCCAAGACTTTCGGAATAGATATGAAGAAAACGAGGTGAGAAACGTTGTTGATTACCTGTTAAGGATTTACATCATACATT